TGTGTATGTATGTGTATATGTATATGTATATGTATATGTATATGTGTATGTGTATGTGTATATAGATAGATAGATAAATATGCGCCACATTTTCTTTACCCAGGCTTTCATTGATAAGTAGTTAGGTTGATTCCATGTCTTTGCTGTTGTGAATATTGCTGCAGTGAACACATGCATGCATGTGTCTTTATAATAGAGTTGTACAGGGAACTTTAGCATTGTCTCTGGTTGCATATCCAAGAATAAGGTTCCATTTTGTTTATTTGTTGTTTGTTTTTAGAAATAAAACCACAGATAGGGCCTTGAAAAAAAGAATTAATTTAGACCTATTTAATGTCCCAGGATACTTCTTATTGTGTTACATTTCCATGTACACTTAAAAAGAATATATATTCTGCTGTTGTTAGATAGAATCTTATAAGTGTAAATTAGGTCAAGTTTAGTCATAGTGTTATCTAATTCTTTTATACCATTGCTCATATTCTCTATTTGTCCTTTCAATTATTGAAAGAAGAGTATTGAAGTCTTTCCTATAAAAATGTGTGAATGTTTTGATTTTTCTTTACAGCTCTCTTGGATTTTGCCTTATGTTGAATCTCTGTAACTGAGTGCAGAAGTGTTTAGGCAATCATCCTCTATGATGATAATCTTTGATTTGAAATCTACTTTTTTATTGTTAATATAATTACTACAGCTTTCTTTTGGTTATATTGGCATGATGTATCTTTATATTCTTTTACTTTGAAACTATTTGTGTCTACATATTTCAAGTTTGTTTCTTATAGACAGTATCTGGTTGGGTCTTGTTTTTTTTGTATAATTAAATAATCTGCCTTTTAATTGCATGATTTAGACCATTTTTATAGGTTATTCGTAAGGTGAAGTTTAAATCTAGCACATTGATCACTTGTTTTCCATTGTTTCTGTTCATTTAACCCTTCTTTTTCTGCTTTCTTTTGTATTCATTGAACATTTTTTATTCTCTTTTATTTTCTTTAAATGCTTATTAGCTATAACTTCTTTGTTATTTTAGTGGTTACTTTAGGGTTTAGTGTACATTTTAATTTATCAGAGTCTAACTTTCAGTGATACAATGTCATTTAAAGTAGTGTATAAAAATCTAATAATAATATACTCTCATTTCCTCACTTCTGTTTTTTGTACCATTTTTGTCGGGATTTTATTTTATCTATGTTATAAACTTCACATTACTTTTTTTGTTTGTTTAAGTAGCCAATTATCTTTTAAAAGATTTAAATAATAAAAACTCACATATACTTACCTAGGTAGTTACTATTTCTGGTGCTCCTCCTTTGTAAAGATACATATTTCTATCTGGTATCATCTTCCCCTGCCTGAAAGATGTCTTTCACATTGTTGTAGTGTTGATATGAGGGTGATGTATTCTTTCTGATTTTGTTTGTCTGAAATCTTCATTGTATTCTTATTTTAAAAATATTTTCAAGAGGCATATAATTCTAAGTTGACAGTTTCTTTTTCTTAGTGCTTTGCCTCACTGGCTTTTTGCTTCATTATTTCTGGGATAAATCTGCTGCTACCTTTATGTTGTTCCTTTGTTAGTGAAATGTCTTCTTTTCTCTGGTTCTTTGTATGAATTTATCTTTAACACTGATTAGAAAGTTAGATTATGTTTGGTCCACATGTGCTTCATGAGTCTCTCATTCTTTTGAGACTAACAGCTACACAAGGCTGTACTTTTCATGGTGAATGGCAGAAATACAAACCAACCAGCAAACCATGCAAACACATTTCGAGCTTTTGCTTACATTACATTAACTAATATCCATTAGCTAAACCATGACATATGGTCAACCCCATGTAAGGTATGGAGAAGTAAAATCCATCTATTATGAAGATATGGCAAGGTTAGGCATAAGGATTATATTCAAATTATACATCTTCATTGCAGGAGGTCCAGTACCTTACTAATAAACTTAGATGTCCCAAGTAGAAGACACCTCATGAAACATAGCACAGATTATTGTAATTGGCAATGTCTTCCTGTTGGAAGATTTGTCCCCACTGTGTTTTCCACAGCTGGTCTCCTTTCTTAGGAGCACATTCCAAGTCAGCCCTTGCAGATTTTTGATGGTAAAGCAGTACTTATGATCAAGTTCCCAAAAAGCTAAGGATGTTGGGACCATACCATATGTACTCTAATTGTAATGAAGATGTACAGGATTCATTTGCCTTGTTGAGAAAAATTATACCTTACTGTGTTTCAACATGTAGTGACAGAATTGTGAGTACTTTCCTGCCCGTTTAAAAATGGAATACTACATAAACAGGCAAAATCCTATTGCTATTTTTGTAGCTTTACCAAAATACTCTTTGACATGAGTACCTTAAGGGATGATTCTCAAGACTAAGAGGGCAATGCTAAGTAGAAGTTAAGCCTGAAAAAACAGCAACATATTTCGAAGGCAGTCAAATTGGCATTATGGATATTTGATGACAGTGATTTTACATACTCACATGTTGTATTAGCCCATTTTCACACCACTGTAAAGGATTACCTGAGACTGAGTAATTTATAAAGAAAAAAAGTTTAATTGACTCACAGTTCTGCATGTCTGGGGAGGCCTCCAGAAACTTTCAATCATGGTGGAAGGTGAAGGGGAAGTAAGGCACATCTTACATGGTGGCAGGAGAGAGAGAGCAAAGGGAGAAGTGCCACACTTTAAAACCATCAACTCACTCACTATTGTGAGAACAGAATCTGGGAAACCACCCCCATGATCCAGTCACCTCCCACCAGGTCCCTCCCTCGACACATGCGGATTACAATTCAAGATGATATTTGGGTGGGGACACAGAGCCAAACCATAATCACATGTATGCATTGTTACTAATAGTAATTAATAACATTAGCTTCCATTTCCATTTTGAGTATCCTAGATATTATGTTCATGTGTGTTTATTATCTTTATTACTCATGGTAATCCATGAGGAAACCGAGGCTCAAAGAAACTGAATGAATTGGCCAGGGAGAGACAGCTAGCAAGTGGTAACATTGGGGTATAAAACCAGATTGATCTCAATCAAAGTCAGAGCATAGCTCCTTATAGTCTGATGCCCCTTTTCATTCTTGATCTCTAAATTCCCATTTGAGCTTCCTTAAGGGGATTCATTGGCTTAAAAGGTAATAACGAATATATTCACATGGCCTAACATTTTATGGAGAACTTGTAGAACTTTGAGAATTCCTCTGCAGATTCTTGGGGCCCCTATTTCAGAAACGTGGGACTGGGGCATCAGTGGCAGCCTTGCAGGCATTGGAGTCAGGGGTGCCAACTGCAGTCTTACCTCTGCTGCATAGCAGCTGGGGACCATGGCAATAGATAACTGTCCAGCCAATTCTCTTCATTCTCCCAAATAGGAAACTGTTGCCATCTTTCCCTCAATTTTTTGTAAGGATTATATTTGACAATGCAGGTACAATGAAGTTTGGAAAACATGGCGAGATAAATGTTTTAAAGGCAATAAAGTGTTGTCAACATGAGCCTGCACCAATGTGTGTTAACATGAGGTAATGTTCATATGTGTAAAGTTCTTAAAACAGTGCCTATCATACTCCAAGTATAATATGTTTACTAAATTTTAAAAATATAATTTGTACCAACATAAAAGTTGGTGAAAAACAAAGCTTATGCAGATTTTCAATAGGGAATCTGTTGATAGTTTTGTGCTTATAATTATTAAAGAAAGGAGAGATCTCAGAAGGGCATTATCCTTGTGAAATGTTTTTGAAGTATATATGGGGAGTACTCATGCTACAAAATAGAAAAAGGCAAGGGTAATAGCATAATATATTAGCAGCTTTCTTCTGCGATGAGTGCAGATATGCCAAGAAAAGATTTAGGTTATACCCCCTCACTTTTCATACATTTCTCAGTTTTTAGTGTCTGTGATTAATGTTAATTAAAATAACTCCTGTTCTTCAAAAATCTGTCTCCAAAAATCTGCTATTATGTAATACTTTATCCATTGATTTGACGTTTCAATTTCTAGGCAACAATTTCTAGTGTTTTGAAAGAAGTTTATGTCGAATGCTAAACACATGTAATTTAAATTGTATGAAAACTGACCCCAACTCTCTTTTCTGTGATATACTTTATAGGACATTATCTTAGCCCTGCCCCTTACTGTGTAACTTGAGCCTGGCTTAGGCCGACTTCAAGCCCACATTGTTTTCATGTATCATGATACTGCAAATAAATGAACAAATGTTTGTGTGTAGTATTATAGATTTTTTTTTATTATCAAAGCAGGACTTTCATCCTGTGTCTTATTTGGCTTACCTTCTTTCTAATCCAAAAATATTATTAATAGGAGCTCATTTTGTAGCAAATGTTGGGAGACATGGCTGTCTCCCTTCTCTCTCCCTCCCATTCATCCTTATTTATACACATACACAATTGAAACTAACAATACTATGGAAGAAGACTGGATCAAATGTTAACTAAATCAAGGGATAGGGTGCCAGTGAGGGAATGGGGCAGGTGGGATGTGATCAGCAGTACACAGTGACCTCTTCCTTTTAAAATTTTAGCTTCCCAGAGGAACATCAGCAGTATTGCTGTAATGGGTCCAGATTGTGGCCCGTTTTATTGACTGGGTCATCTGTAATTTCTTGATCTGAATTCTCTGAGATAACAGAGAAAAAGATTCCTTGCATCTTGGTGACATTAGGATACATCCTTGGAACATTGTTAACTGGACTTGGAGCTAGACAAAGGACAGGAGCTGCAGCTGGGGACATGTTCCAGGGTAGCTGAGGTTATACTTGGCCAGAGTTAGTTATTTCCTTCTCACTGCATTTAGCTGAGTAACTGGGTGCACATGGGTGAGCCACCATGCTTATAAATATGTGTTTTGGGATATCCAATAATAATATTAGAGAGATTATACATGAGCTGTATCAAGGTCTTATCAGATTCAAGGGAATACATGTTTTGTTTTGTTGTTTGTTTTAACAGAATGAAGTCCCTGAAGTGAAGAAAGAGGAGACTTTGCTGGATCTGGACTTTGACCCTTTCAAGCCGGAGGTGACACCTGCAGGTTCTGCTGGAGTGACCCACTCACCCATGTCTCAGGTATCAGGTGCTTTTTGGATGTTTGGAGATGATATTTCATAAACGTCAATAAAATCAGTATGGTAATCGATGATCCCTATACCTTTCATGCCTGCTATCTATTTTTATTTTTGGTTGACATATATTTCCTAATAGGAAAGGGGGGTAGAAAGGGGACCTTTTCAGTCTCACTTATTCTAAGCCTCCCATGCCATCAGCTTTCTCTACCCATAGAGCTGGCATAACCACACATTCCTGTTTTCCCTCCCAGAGTAATTGTTACCAGTGCCCCACTTTGCACCCAGAACTGTTCAGGTTTACAAGATACACTCTATGGCTTCCCTAGATGAGGCTCTTTCTTTTAGCTTTGGGTTTACTCTTCTTGCTGTTTTCTCTACTTCCCTTCCTCATACTTGGCAAGTTAAGGCATGTTTGCGACGACCATGAGAGCATGCTATAGCAGAAGCTATTTTCAGTGTAGATAGTTCTGAACTTGATGCTGTTTTCATCTCCGCATTGAAGAAGCTTCCCTCCTGTGATCGTGATTATGATTTGATGGAGAGTTGCCTTGCTTCCCCAAGCCTTTTTGCTCATCACTCCCTCACTCTCCACATTTCTTCCATTCTGATAGTTACTGTCATGACATTCTCTGTCAGAGGATACTGGTGTTGGTGCCATAATGACCTGTGGGTAGGTCCTCTGAAATATAGTTAGTGTACAACTCTCTATGCTAACAGAAGGAAGTTAACTCAAAATGTGATGAAACAAAAACTGTGTATCAGTACTTTGCATATGGTTGGAGCCATACATTTGAATTTAAGCAAATCCAAAGTTACTAGAGTATGCTTCAAATGAATTAGTGAGAGTATCATAACATTCAGCCTAGGAATTGAGACCTAGCTTGATTCCCTGGTCTTGAAGTCTTCCTGGTATATCACAGTAAACTGCTAGAGAACAAATAGCTCAATATGAACCTCAATAAATAAGGATTATGTCTATTCCATGCTTTCTTCTAGAATGTGATTGAACTTTTAAAGGGCTTCCTGCTGTCAAATAGAAACAATAAATGTCTAAGGTGTTAATAAAGTAGGGGATTAGTAGTCTAGACACTAGCCTTAAAGATGCTTTGCAAAAAAAATGGGTCTCTTAGGCAAATGTTTCAGGAAGCCTCCTGTATTAACTCTCTTCTAGGAGATTCGTGATATGTGCATTAGAATATTAAAGACTGAGAAGTTCTGCAATTAAAGAAAACTGTTTATATTTGTTTAACTTAGAGTTTCCCAAATTCGCTTGACCACAGAAATCTATGTTGATTAAACTTTTCTTTTTTTTTTTTTTTTTTTTTTTTTTTTTGAGATGGAGTTTCGCTCTTGTTACCCAGGCTGGAGTGCAATGGCACGATCATGGCTCACCGCAACCTCTGCCTCCTGGGTTCAGGCAATTCTCCTGCCTCAGCCTCCTGAGTAGCTGGGATTACAGGCACACGCCACCATGCCCAACTACTTTTTTGTATTTTTTAGTAGAGACAGGGTTTCACCATGTTGACCAGGATGGTCTCGATCTCTTGACCTCGTGATCCACCCGCCTCGGCCTCCCAAAGTGCTGGGATTACAGGCGTGAGCCACCGCGCCCGGCGATTAAACTTTTCTTAATATTTATTGGAATGTTTTCTAAAACAATACTTAGAGAAATGTGAAGTATTGTCAGCAAGTTTGAGTTCCAACTTGGTGACCAAGGAAAGTACGAAGTGAATGTACATATAATTCAGTATACTTCCTTCTCAGAGCTCTCTCATTATATAGACAGTCAGCAGAATTCACAGGATTTCCTCTACCTCACTCTCCATGCTTCATTTCTTTTGTGGCAGATGCAAAGTTTCTGCAGTAGCTGCTGGAATGATTAGTTTGTGAGATTTCATAGCATTTTTGTCTGCAAGTTTGAGTCAGGGGAAAACCTCTTCTATGTTAATTCATGATTACATTAATCCATAAATCATGAAACTATGTGTGGCCATAAGACTAAGAGATTCTTCAAAATTAAACAAAAATGACCTTGGTTTAATCTTCACAGTCTTAGTTTTGAGGGACATATATCACCGCAGTGAGGGCAAGCTGTGTGTGTCCCTGTGCTCTTCCTCAGGTCCAGGTAATAAAACCCTCCGGCCTCCTGGTGGCCATAATTGAATCACTGCACTATGGTTGTCCTGCAATCCAGCTCTGATCACACCTCTCCTCTTTGGCTAAGAACAAAAGTCTTGGCTGAGAGACAAAAAAGCACAACACTGTTAGGTCTGCCTACCTTCTTTCATCTTCACTCATAGTGATCTCCTTTACCCATCACCTGACCACATGTTTTCAAGTGATGTTCTTGCTGCTAGCAGAACACCTCACCTTGTGATCTCTGCAGTTTCTGTGCACGCTAACTCATCCTTTCATGATCGTGAGGATTGATGAACATGACATTTCACATTTCCTGCCTTCCTTTTAAAGAAGATACTCGTGCATCTGCATTATGCAAAAACATGTACTAGCTTTTATGATCTTGGATTCTTAAGGGACTATGAAGCAATGAAATGGGAACCATCTAGATAATCAGAAAACATGTATTAGATCTATGTACAAAAAATTGTGGCTTTCCATGGAGCTATTCTGCTCTCCTGTCTTAGTCATCTTACCAGAAGATGCTAAGCAAGAGACCAGCCAGGTTGCATGGAGATGCAAGGCGGGCAGTGCAGAGCAGTTAGAATGGGGCCCAACCAGGTGGGTAGGTATCAGTCAGAACCACAGGGCTTGCTTTCGATAATACACAGCCCAAATGAGGCCTCTGTGATCTCAACTGGAAGCCATCATATTTCCAAGGTTGGAATGCCAAGCTCTCTAGTTTGTTGTTCACATTTAGTGACTCAAAGTAAGTGCATAAACATGGATCTATTCTAGTCACAGAAACATGGGCATAAAGGGAGGTGGGTTTAGCAGCAATTCTCAATCATAAAGCAAATAAGAAAGAGAAGTATCCCATACTCCCGCAACCCATAGTGGAAGTCATTTGAACCATCTGGCCTCACTCCACAGGATCCATAAGCTTTTAATTAAAATACCAGTAGTAAGTGTAATTCATTCATATGTCTTAGGGGGTACTCTGCCAACTTGCGCGATTACCAAGTAGTTGAGTGGTGTGTTATCTAATTCAACATATTGAAAAACTATTTTTCTTGGGCTCATTTACCATCAAACTGGTCATCATATATTTTCTTGAATGAGATGGGAAGGAAATAGCATTAGCAGTGATTAGGGTCTGCATTTCCTCAAAGACGTGTTAAGCTCTAATATTGGAACACCTTGTTTACTTCATTTTAATGAGGTGCATGTGTGTGTATTAAAGTAACCTCATTCGTGTTTCAGATATAGTTTTCTACTCACATAGTGAAAGACAAGATTGATTAGACCTGTGCTATCCAAAGCTAAGTGCCATTTAAGCTTATATTAAACATAATAAAATTATGTAAAATTTAAAATGTGATTTTGTTACCCTAGTACATTTCCTGTGCTCAATTAGCCACATGTGACTAGTGGCTACCATACTGGATAAGCACAGATATGGATCATTTCCATCGCCAAAGAAAGTTCCATTGGGCAGTGCTGTACTAAATGCTTAAAAAATGCTTATGATTTCAATAACTTTTGTCACCTCAGCATTTTTTATGTTTTGGATTTGTATAACTAACAGTATTTTTGTTTATTTGCTTTTAGACATTGCCCTGGGACCTATGGACGGTAAGCCACTAATAACTGTTTTCTTGTATCTTGATCCCCAGAAACTTGTAAACATTGTTATATTTGATTTCATTTGCAACAGAAAGAAGACCCATACATTTAATGAGAATATAGTCCCCTAGAATGATCATTAGGTCACTGAAAGTCTTGAGCATTATCACAACCTAAAGATGATGGTGAAGAACGAGTACAGTGGACCAGACTCCTGGGTGAATAATGGCCAAGAATTTGGATAATGGTCAATAATTTGGCCCTTTGTTTCTTCCTGTGGTAGTTGGTGGCAAGAGGAGCTGTGGTAGTGAAGGACATACACAGCTGTTGTTGCATTTAAATAGAAGACAAGGAAAGTGTGAATGAGACAATGGAAGAGAGGGGCTACTTGGCACATGGAACCATTCTAAAAAATCATTATAGTCAATGAAGCTTGGGTTAATAAGAACTTGAGCTTTAGAGCCAGATGGCCCTGGATTTGAGTCCAAACTCTACTCTTATAACCTTGAGACTTTGAGCCATTTCTAAAACTCTAAGCCTTGGTTTTTCTCATTTGTAAAATAAGGGCAACGATGCCTACTTCAGAAGATTGTGTGAGGTTTAAATAAGATAATTGTAAAGTATGTAGCTGGTGTCTGGTATGTATCAATAAAAGATGGATATTATTGCTGATGTTTATTCAGCTAATCTGATGTGTAAGGATAATTACTGCAGAATTTAGAGTTAGGAAAGTGTCACAAACAGCTCTGTGGTGATCTCATTGGTGCTGTGAAATTGGAGATTGGTTGCACACCTCTATAGCCTTATAATCCCTTGGAGCAGGGCCTTTGTTTTAGAAAAGGCTGGTCATATGTCTTAAGAACGCAACTTAAGTTGTATGTTTTCATGTATAGTGAGGCAGCAAAAGGGGAGTTTGATCAATCTAGCAATTCATGGGCAATGCCACTTCTAAATTGACATTGCCTCTTTCTTTCTCCCTTTAAAACCAAAAGATGTCTGTCCCCTCCTTCTGCAATCACAGGGATATACTGTACTCTTTAAGATCCCTGGAGCTTCAAGGAAAGTGCTCAAGAAGAGAGATTAAAAGTGTCGATGGAAACCACCAATGACAAAGTTATATCTTTTCTAGTGAAAAGTTTTACTCATATACTCACAAAAAAGGCATGCATGGATTGATGTTCAAGTCATTTGAATTCTAATCTCAACTCTGTGTTAATTTTCTTGGAGATTAAAAAGACAAGGCTATTTTTTTATTCCAATATTTTATGTCTCTAGTGGAACTATAATGCATTTTCCTTCCCTAGCTGGGAGGGTATGGAAAGGCTGAAGGTATCATCTAGAAGGAGCTTTTGAACATTTCAGAGGACAGACTTGCTAGGAATGGTACCGATAACAAAAATGCAAAACAACTGCTTTCTGAACGTAATTGCTCACAGCTATTAATCTTTTCAACTTCCCAAGATTTTTTCCTTATGTAGAGAAAAATGGCTGCTAATTTGGGGGAATGACATCAAGAGAACTCTCCAGTCAGTCAGACTGGTTAATATCAGACTGTCCTCCATCTAAGCACCCACCTTAGAGGCAGAGCGAAGTATAGGATGAGTTTGAGGAAGATTTTCTTCTGATACTGTGTTAGAATATATGCTACTGTGTAATTTCTTGACCTCTAGTGTTTGATCTTAGTCTGATGTTCTCAAATTTGCTTATGCATTTGAAACTTCACATTTCAGAGTCTGCTAAAGCAGAAGTCATGTACTAGCCATAAAATATCCTTGTTGATGCTAGAAAATGACAGAGGCTTTCTTTGTTTCAGTTGTGCCTTTTCTACAGTGGTCTTAAACAATTTTGGAACAAAAGTCATTCGCATCACGAAACAAGTTGTAAAATTTGATCCTAAACCAGTAGAAGCTGTAGCCTTCAGCAGAATGTTGACTCTAGACAGCAGAGGATTTTATTGTGTTAGTGAATTTTCTTCTCTTGTCTTATTGTTACTATTTTCTTTACCCATACAGACAAGCACTGATTTGGTACAGCCGGTAGGTAAATATCCAGAAAATTCTGGATTCTTTTTTTTTGGTATTTGATATGCATTACATACATAGTATATTTTCTAGAGTAAATTGTTTCCCCGTGCTGTTGTTAGTCATGGATTTAAACCTTAAGCCAATGAATGTAAACACTTTCCAGTTTGGTTTAGTGGTGCTACCCACCTGAAGAGCTTTGTGTTTCTCATCAAATCTTACCATGATCTGTTTCATCTTTTGTTTTTGTTTTTGTTTTTTTCCCTTTGCTCTTCGGCATACTTTAAAGCCTGACTCTTCAGAAAGTCTGTCCTTGTGTAACCTGATCATAGAGGAAACTCCAGACAGTGGGTTGGCCGAAGAAATTCAAAGATCTCAGAATGATATAGGTGCATTTACTTGGGGCCCTGATGCTAGTACAGACAGGGTCAGCCAGGAAATTACCTCAGGTGGGTTTGGAGAAGACTCTGCATGTTTCTCCGAAGCAGAGCAAGGCATAAGATTATCCACCAGACTGCTTTCGTCTGCTGACTGGCCCCCTGTAGCTGCACAGGATGAGCATGCCCTAGGGCCAGCCCTTCCAGGTGGAAATGAACGACTGTCCCCAAAGCCTGTGCCTGAGGCTGGAGTTGCCATTGCTGCTTGTGTGGAGATGGAGCAGCCATATGACCCCCCTGACTCAGAGGTGCCAGCCATGGCCACAGCTGGTCTGTTCAAAGAAAGTCATGAAGATGTGAAGAAGTCAGATGAAGAGGAAGAGAAAGAGAAGATAGAAGATTCTCTGTGGGCAGGTGTGGAGACGTGTCAAAAGGTAGACACTGGAGCTATTGATATCAAGACACTAGAAGGTACAGAGGAATTTGAAGAGAACGCATGTGAAAGGACAGGAAACAGAGTGGTGGAGCTTCTTAATACCATAGGAAAGGAAGACAATAGGACCTTAAAAATTAATGAAGTGGAAACTAGGAAAGGTCTGAGAGCAGGGTATAAGGAAAGTACAAAAACCAATGAAAATTATTTTGAGAAAACTGACCTATTAGAAACGGACAAGGAAAGAGGAGATACAGTAAAAGAACTTAGTGATAGAGACCAAGGTCTACATGATGGAATTCAAAAGGTAATCGATAATTGTGGAATGATAGAAGGCTTTGGAGCCAAATCCACCAATCACCCAGATATCTTGAATCCATCTCTCCAGACCTACTCTGTATCTAATATTGAAGATGGCAGCCATGAGGGATGGGATTTGGCTAGAAAAGACATAAAGAAAAATGCAGTAGACACTCCCAACCATGATATGATATATTACCCAGAGCAAGGCAGTGCAGATGCTGAAGAAATTCAGTGTGAGACTGTGTTAAATGCTCTTGTAGGTGACCGGGATAAAAATCAGGCTGTTTTATCAATAAAACTTGAAGTAGAAGCTCAGTCTAGGACTGGCCTTAGTTATTCTCTGGGAAGTGATGTAAATGGGAGAGATTTATGTTCATGTAAGGCAGAAAGTTCACTAATAGAAGGGTCTGAAAGAACAGTGACTGAAAACTGTAGTCATACTGTTAACTCGCCAAGAATTGCAAAGATAGACTCTTGGGGAACAGATCCAGGTCAAATCTGCCAGCCAAGCTTGAATTCAGCAATGAATAATTTGGATATAACAGGATTCTCTGGTATACCAGATGGCCAAGCAAGTGGATTTGCCAATTGTCTGGATTCTATTAACCACTGGCCTATCAGAGATACAGAAGGCTTAGATAATAGCTGGAAACAGTTAGATGCAGTTGAGCACAAGGAAGAACTGGAGGTGGACTTACTAGCAGGTGTATGTGGGGAACAAGCCATTGCTAGCTGCTGGGAACAAAGCCAGGAGATAGCGAGACCATTGATTTTGGGGACCTCCCGGAATGCTAGCACTGAGATTTCTGCTAGTTCCCGAGACCAGGACATCAACAACTCAGATTTATCTGAAGATGAAATTGCTAACCAGAGATATGGATTGTTGTACCAAGAAATAGAGGCTGACAAAGACGAGGTACTTACCCTAGTCTGTAGCATAGACTAGCCAAAGACTTCTGTAGGTTCTGTTTTTCCTCATGTCTCTCACCTACTTCATTATCTATCACTATCTTCTGGGAGGCCTGATCTCTCTAACAGAGTGTCATGTACTTCTTGAAATCTGTGCAAACCAAACACAAATAGGTTGACCAAAAAAAAAAACAGCAGCAGCATCAGTAACAACAAAAAAACCAACAACATAGACACACACACACACACACACACACACACACACACACACACACACACANACACACACACACACACACACACACACACACACACACACACACACACAGCAGAATGATTGTGTTGGGAATTAATGAGAGTCTATGTTACTACTATTCAGGTACTAAAAATGTGCTAAACCGAGAGCAGCGGAGACTAATTTAATCTCCCTAAAGTGGTTCCACTCCAATAAGAACACATGAAACGTTTCAGCCCAGGCCCACTGAAACTGTAAAATATCCTAATTGCTGTTCATCAAAATGATACATTGTAGAAACACTGCAAAAGCTTCTTCCAGATTCTATCAATGGCCTGAAAAGCAAGTTAACCCATAATGGCCCTTTTCTGGAATCATCTTCTCATTATAGAGAAAATGGGTTTTGGTTAGCACCAAAAAATAATGCAGCAGCAATAATTGTAAAATTAACCTTTTTTTTTTGTCAGCCTATTTAAAATCATGCAGTGTGGCCTTTTGTATTTCCTAAGTTCTTTCATGCACAGCAACCTTTTGTATTATTTTACAATTTGTGATAGTCTTTACTTTCCAACTTGTCTAATGGATATTTACTGGTCCTACAAAAATGGTAATAAAAACAATAACACACTCTGATTTTCGTTTCTGTTTAGGCTTCTGGCGGTTCATTTAATGGATTCACACAGGTAAGGAATCTATTTTTTTTTTACTAGATCCATCTGCTGAGAATGATGCACATTTTTTTTCAGTGTGGTTTGGTTCTCTGTGCCACTTATGATTAAGAATGTCAGCACAACATTGGACCCCACTACTTACAAACTGAATAATGTAAACAGAATTGTAGCAACATTGCATGATTATTGTGAAGATTAAATGAGATATGCAACAGAGTGTTTAGCCCAGCAGTCTGGCACACGCTCAGTGCTCCCTGACTTTAGTTTAGCTTTTATTAATATGATTAGCTCTACCATGGGATTCTACCTTCTACTGATTCCTCTACTAGAAATTAGAAGTTGTTCTGATCTGAGAGACCCACTGGGTTCAGCTGTTCTAAAGAAGAGCTAGGATTGTTTTGAACTGATGAAATGGATCTTTAGAAAATGTGAGAGATTTTTAGGAGCTTCCTTCTAGAGATTCCTATAGGAGCCACACTGCACAGATCCTTGTCTCTTCAGCAGCTCTCCAGGAAGGAGCTATTGGAAGATCAGAAACCGTATGCTGGTTGTGTTCAGTAAGGCCTTATTTTTCTCTGGAGTCTGTGAAAAAGGAACCACAAGATGAACTGTCCCATTAACTGTGTATGTGCCATCAGATAGGCAGGTGTAATCTATGTAAAAGGCCGGCCACATGGCTCTCAGGCTCCTGGATCAGTTTTGACAATCTCTTCACTGGAGACCTCAAACAGGCTTGTCTGTGATGACTGCTTTGTCTCAGAATGTCAGACATGCACAGTTTCTAATAATTTAGCATTTAGAATTCTCTAAATACATATTCATAATATATTCATAAATAGCATTCTCTGTTTAAAAGTTTCATTATTTTCCCATGCTATCTATAAAAATATAAAACCCACTGACACTCCCACATCCAAATACAGATACACACAAACACAAAGAGATATGTTAATGCATCTCTTCCATCTTCAGAAAATTCTTTTGAAAGGTTATCATAGGCATTGCCATTAATTTCTCATTCTTTTCAGGTTTCTATTTCCGTCAGAGTTATTAATTCACATAATTTTAAAAGTAACGATGTTTTTAAGGGCTTTTATTTTAAAACTTCAGACCATCATACACCCCTTTCATTTCCCATTTCTTAGAGGTAAATAGTTTCATTTCCTTTAACAAATTATCTGGTTTTACCCTATATGTGTGCATGGGTTTCTTATAATGCTGCTTCTTGATTTCTAAAGTATTATCTATTGACTCATCTCTCTGGAAGGCGAAGACGTAAAGTATTTTCTACCTCCTACCCACCCAATTTGTCCCCTCTTCTGCTTCCTGCCTTTCCTCTGATAGAGTTCCATCAGAGCTCTCCAGGCAATCTGTGGTAATATATTGGTGATTAGAATACTCTTAGCAGCCAAGTCATGAAGTTCACATTTTGTTCCATGCCAAATTTCTGTTTTCCTTTGTGGTAATAATTGTGGGTCTTATTTACTTGCCTGTTGGTTGATATGCTTAGTTTTCTAGGTACTTATTGCATATTCAACCCCATACTCTGTAGTTATATAAATCTATTTTGCAGAAAATATTAGACATTCAATCAGTTTCATCTTCTTGAAGAAATTGCCTATCTGTCCTCCTGGGCTGCTCTGGTCTGAACTGGGTACTCTGAGACCGTGACTTGCTGCAGAGCTGTTCTCACTGGTTCTCCCATCCTGTTGGTCATGGGGACTGCCTTCCCCTCTCTCTCCTGTCTATCCACTCTTTTCTGATGCAAGTTTCCTCATTTGTGGTTTAACCATTCATTTGGTTGGAGCACAACCTCCAGTCACTTTCTGAAAAAAGTGTACCTGGAAGGTCCATGTTTGTGACCTTACACATCTGAAAATGTCCTATGTATATATTAATATAATGCTGCTAGTTTGGGTATTATATTAGAAGCTGTAAATCATTTTCCATTAGAATTTTAAGTCCGTTGCTCCACTCAGTTCTACCACCTAGTGTTGCCTTCAAGAAACTGTCATTTTGTATCTTGATAGTTTGTAAGAAACCTTCTTCTCCCTCCTCATTCTTTCTCTCTCTCTCTCCCTCCTTCTACCTCTCTCATCTTCCTCTTCTCCCTTTCTCTCTGGAACTTTGTAGAATCCTTTTTTTTTTTTTTTTTTTTTTTTTTTGAAAAATTGAAATATTGCAATGGTAGGCTGTGGTTTCTGAAATGTTACAATGTTGGGCTGTGGTCTGAGTCTCTTTTCATCCACTGTGTAGGCCTTTTTAATCTCAAAATTTATGGGTTTTGGTTTGGGAGAATTAAAAAAAATATTTCACGGATTTATCTTTTTTTCTTTGTTCTCTCATTCCGTAACACTTCTCTTTTTTATATGTCAACTTCCTGTCTAGCATTCTATTATTTTTTTTTGTTTCTTTTCTCTGTTGTCTTTCTCTTTCTCTGTTTTCCAACTATTCTAACAGATTTTTCACCCCTATAATTTTTCCAATTTCCAAGAAGTGTTTTTGTTTGCTGCATATTTATTTTCCAATAGCACCTTCTTCTTTTGTCATGAATGATCCTCTTCCATTATATCTCTGAAGATATTAATAATCAATTTTGAATTTTTTTGCGAAGCCTTTGTTTCTTCCATTTGCTTTTTCCCCCCTTTCTATTCCATTTCTTTCTTTTATATTTGAGACTTCTCAAATGTTTGGTGATCTTGGCTGAATACTCATGTTTAAAAGTGGGATGCTGAAAAGCTGACTGGACACTTGTACAGGTAGATTGAGCTCATTGACTGTGGGCATTGTTGCACAACTTCCTGGCTCATCTTTTTTGTTGGGAGCCTCTGAAGTCAGATTCTTTAGGCATTTTTTTTCTTTTGGGCTGGCCAGATTTCCCAGGGAAGATTTGTCTTATCTGCTGTCTGTGAGGTTCAAGTCTGACTACTAGTATAATGGAGATGATTGAGGGAAAAATGGGAGCAGAGTGGGGAGAGAGGTGTGCATGGTCTCAATATTTATTATGTAAATACTTACTTAGTGCTTCTGCCTTCCCGATGTACCTGTGTGCCCCTAGTCCAGGGACCCTGTTTCAGCCTCTGTATAATTAATCTCAAGTCTTCTGCTAGGGTAGACAAGGGTGTTGCTTGGTGTTCTTAATAGGTAAGAACATCTTGAGGTCTGATGACTTTGTAATAGACTTTTACTATTCTCCTGTTGTTACCACCACCCCCACTCCTGTTTCTCATGACTCTTTATGCTTCTAATTCTTTACCACTGAGCATTCTAAGGAAGAAATCAGACTGATTTTCACCATTTCTGACATCACCTTAGGATACAGATTTCTTTCATCCACCAAGGCACTACTCTTTTCATCTGCTTTCCCATTTCAACATTTTGTTAATTTCTGTCTTTCTTCTCATTCCTTTCATCCTTACAGGTTTATGCCTTAAAAAAATCCCTTCTTGTTGTTTAGTTTGGATACAGGAGGTAATAAAGGTAACTGCATGTGTTCAAAACACCATCTTCAACCAAAAGTCAGTGGCTCATCTTTTCTGGTAGGGATCCCCTGATGTCAATTTATTCCAGCAATTTTTTTCCCCTTGACTTAGCAGATTTCTCAGGAAGGACACTTGGGCCTCCTGTCTGGAGACCTGGCTACCAGTGTAATGAGAGATGAAAGTTCCTTTAGAGATTACTTTTCCTTTAGATTTCCTCCAACTGATTTGTTTAGGTCAATGAACGTATTTTATGAAATTTTAACCTATGGCTCGTGTATAACCCATAGAAGGAACACTTAGGTAATATTGTAAGATTGAATTTACAACATTTAAAAAGTTTAAATTTGGGGACTTCAACCACTACCTTCTGATTTGGTATCAACAGCCAGAAGAGAAGCTGTGGACTAAAGATGCCCCTGGAGCCAGTGCCCTTTGTTTAATAACGCTCATAGTATCCTGCTCATCCTGCTAGCGGAGACTTATATTTAGAATAACTATCATTAAAACTTACTTTTGCATCTTTTGCCTTAATTATTTAAAATAAAAGGGGACTTGAAAATGTTTAAAATATATTTATTGAGGCCAGGCATTGTGGCTCACACCTGTAATCCTAGCACTCTGGGAGGCTGAGGTGGGCAGATTTCTTGAGCGCAGAAGTTCAAGACCAGCTTGGGCAACAGAATGAAACCCTGTCTATACAAAATATACAAAAATTAGCCAGGCTTGGTGATGTGTGTCTGTAGCTCTGCCACTTGGGAGGCTCAGCCTCAGTGGAGGCCACATAAGCATGATCATACCACTGTACTCCAGCATGGGAGACAGAAGGTAACCTTTCTCAAAAAAAAATTTAGACAGATGATAGATAGATAGATGATAGATAGATAGATGATAGATAGATAGTGTCTTTCTCTACACACACACACACACACCACACACACACACACACACGCACACACTTGATGGTAGCTAATTTAATAGCTTTTTAAAAAAATTTCTATTTTTGTTCTTGATTTTCAGCCCCAGGATACTTCATTATTCACAATGCAGACAGACCAAAGTATGATCTGCAACTTGGTAAGTTGATTTGAGTTTGTGCTCTCAGGAAGTTGTTAGTTATCACTGAATGTTCTAAAGGCCATCTAGAGTTTAAATATCCAGAATGTGGTTTCATTCATTCTAGGCCGTCTAGAGTTTCACTATACAGAATGTGGTTTCTGGATCCTGTACTTTTCTAGGAAACAAGAGAGAAAGTATCTGTAAAACCTCAGTGTGACTTTGCATTGGGTTATTTCTATTCATATAGGCACAGTCATTCCAGCAAAAACCAGTCTCCTAATTATGAATCCCAGTGGAACACAGTGAATCCATTGAGGACATGTATATTTCCATATGAATATAACTTAAGCTCCAGTATTTAAAGTGAAATTGCCTCAAGAATTTATGCTTCAAAATAAATCTTTGTTTCTTGAGTCTGAAACTACCCCATTTCTCATCTCCTCCCTCCACTTTGTGGGAGGTAGAAAGCAATAGTGCGTAGTAGAGCTGTGATTCCTAATTGGATGCCAAGTGAGAGGAGAGAGAAAAGCTTAGTTGGGAGATGAGTAAGAAATAGAAATAGTTGCTCTTGGTGTTCGAGGAGATTCTTAAAAGATCTGAGGTGGGCGGAACACGAGGTCAAGAGATCGAGACCATCCTGGCCCACATAGTGAAACCCCATCTCTACTAAAAAATACGAAAATTAGCTGGGTGTGGTGGCACACGCCTGTAGTCCCAGCTACTCGGGGCGCTGAGGCAGGAGAATTGCTTGAACCCGGGAGGGAGTGGTTGCAGTGGGCCAAGATCACTCCGCTGTACTCCAGCCTGGCGCCTGGCAACAGAGCAAGACTGTGTCTCAAAACAACAACAACAACAACTCAGATGTGTTCTCCTCTTTGTACAATTAAAAGCATTTGTTGTTGTTGTTAAAAAAAAAAAAAAAAGAGATCAGTGTTGCAGTTACGATAGGAAACATTTACAGTTTAAAGCTTACTAATAAGGATGAATGGAGAGACCTTAAGAAATGTCACTTTTGAGCATGTCATTGCTGCACTTCAGAGGATTTGGGCTCTTTGAAACTAGTTCATGAGGATTATTTGTGGCACTATGGTGTTCCCATGGGAATAGTGCGTAATTATCCCAGCTTCTGGCTTTCATATTGGATACTTGGGATTGAGATTAATGATAAATAATTTCTTTTAAACTTTCATTTTTAAGTAAGGAATTCTGTTCTGGAAAGTTTGTCTTCAAGGCTGGTTTGATATATTTGCAAAGTCAAGTGTGTGTCTCATACCCTGTCAATAGATTGTCACTCTTTTGCCTTTTGGGCAACGAGCTGACGGGTAGAGTCTCTCTGGCCTGCAAATAAATATTTAAATGTTGCAAATACAAATTATACTTGTGTTAGTAATGGATCCAGTGACACTCATTTGTCATGTTCATTGCTGATTCTCCAGCCAGGTGATGGAGATGGAGAATGAAATTTTTAATTGTCAATCATGAATGGTTTATGAAAAATGGAGAAATACCAGTATAAAAGGAAAGGCAATTGGTTATAATTAAACTCACACCTACTACATTGCTGCAAAAGATTCAAGTCTAGAATTCAGTTGTTTTTAAGTTTTGGTGAACCTTTCCCTACCATCCTTGACTGGTCCTAGGAACTTCCATGCTTGTCTTTCCCTTCTCTTTGTATGTATTCTCTGAAGCAGACATCTTGCCTCTTCTGTCCATTGAGAAACTTAGCTTTGTCATGTTGAGCATTGCAAATGCTGCTAACCTTGGCCCTTGGAAATCACAGTGAACTGATGTCTCCCAGTGAGTCGTGATTGTACAGGATCTTCCCAGGAGCAGCAAAACTTCCCAGTGTTTGGCTCATTGACTATTCTAAGCCAGGTAGGGGGTGAAGTTGGTAATCAGCTGTACATCTCCCAGCCTGCATCATACAGCCCCGCAGGACATCTTTTGAGTACAAGTTGAAATCCTTTTGAATCAGATCTTGCTTAGGGCACAGGGTTGCCTCTAAACCCTTTTGCAGTTCTCACTAAATTAGCTCTCTCGGGACTGGAGAAACCGGATACAAGGCCACGTTGGATATGACTAGATTTCTGCCCTGGCTTTCCCAGCCCATCTCCTCTTCCTCTGTGTTGACCTGCCTTTTGTCTCATCACAAAGGATACCAGAAGAGGTGCTGCAAGGCTACCCTCCTCATTTTATTCTAGAGGAATAATTCTGTTTACGGTCCTCAGAGCTAAACCACTATGGCATCAGCTGCCGCCAGTATCTGTAAAGGATGCATCTCTTCTCTGAATGCACAGTGACTGCTCCTGAAGCAAACAGCAGGAAATCATTACCAGCACTCCAAAATAGGTGTGGTATGGGATTAAGCCATTTGCAACGTCTGTCAAGGGAGGCATCTTGTAGAAAAAATGGTGAAGGCAGGGCACAGTCCCCACAGGACTATAGTAAATGTCTCCACAAGAGGTTGCTCACATTTTATCTCTGTTTTTCCCTTTCTCTTGACAAAATACAATTTTACATTATCTTAGAAGGAATAGAGAGGCGGCTTCTATTTCCAACGTTGGGTAGCTGATTTTATGTAGAATCATACTTCATTGTTATTCATCATTTACTGAGTTATACTATCCTCCTGAAATTTAAGTTGTAGTGCCATATTGTAAAATTTCATGTAATATTATCATATGTGAAACACGTTGTGACTTGTGGGGATGTAAGCAATCTTAGGTTCTCTTTAGACTACACCACAGTCTCACCGTCATATTTCAACAACCAAATGCAATTAGACTCGTTTATAAAATCACCCTAGCTATTCATTCCTGCCTTCTACAAAATGTCAAAATTTCTTCAGACTTCTAAGAAACCAAGACTCAGATGCAAATATTTTCTGCATTTTAAGATATCCTGGCATTTTGTAAAATATAGGGCGATGTATTTCTTTGACTCATGTTTTAAAATTTCTCTTGGCTTCTCATCTGGCTTCACTCTTACTTCTTCAGTAGTGTAGACTCAGCTTGCAGGGAACAGCATCTGCTCATGGATTTCTTGCTCAAATTACCCTTGTGTCCTTCATTGTGTAGGTCACTTGATACCAGGCTGTCATAGCAAATCATCCTGACTTCGCAAATGGTAGGATCATTCCCTGAGCGCTTACAGTATCTGTTTGCTGTTATGAAAATTTGTTCCATTATGAAGATAATTCTTTTCAAACAGTAAAAGTGAAGTATTTTTCCATAAAGGACTCCTGAGAGCATATTAGTGTGGATTTTATCTCATTCTTTCTTAAAAATTGTGTCAGACCACCTCTTAAAGCTTAAAGCTCATAAAAAATCAAAGGTCTGCACATGTCTACCAGTCTGTTGAATTTATTATGCCCTTTGAAAAGAATGGTGGTGTGACCCTGGCATGCATAAAAATGGAATGATTTGGTGGGAGACATAAGACAAATATTTTGTGTAGTTGTCCAACACTAGGCTATTCATATTCACTTTATTTCATCTCAGCATAACTTTTCCATCATTTCTTTGTGAAACCTGCCATGTGCACTGACTCAAATGAATGTACAGGACAAATAGGGGTGGGTTTTGGTTGCTTATGATGAGTCAGATCAGAGTTACTGATTTCTCTAATCACAGCATTAATTAGATACTTCTTACTCCACTGGGAAATCACTTTTAAACTTTTTTTTACAGCTAAGTGCTTTGAGGACAGAAAAGGATCTTATGAGCCCTCTAGTGGCCATCCATTTAGTGAAAGATGGATCTTTCTAGCATATCTAGCAACATGATAGATAAATATGTTTATATTAATAAGAATGGAAAAAGAAGGAATATTTTCAGTAGTTGTAGTGAGATGCATTGGCTGTGGTGCTTTTAATAGCTTCTTGTTAGTTTATATTGCTAATTTTAAAATTAAAAGGCCTTAATCTAAGATATGCCAGAAGCCTGATTCAGCATATATGTAATTGGAATCAGGATGTCTATGTGTAGCGGTCTTGGAGCAAAAAGACCTCACACTGCCTACACAATTAAGGGATTGTAATTGATACCATGGAGAATACTACCCAGTGGTTCTTTAAACAATTATTATATGAAATAAATGCATTACTAAGGGTTTTGTTGGAGGGTGAAAGGGAACAAGGGACTGAACAGGAATTCACAACAAAGCAGTAAACTATCTGATTGTGGTAGAGAATAGCTAGGTAGCTGGCTCTGTTCCTACCAGACTTGGAAGTGGAACACTAGCTTCACAGTGACCTGTTGGGTCAAATGAATGCATTTTAGTCTGATTATTAGAACAACCCTTTCACTTTTTGGGTGCAATGCATATTCATAAAACTGAAAGACCCTGAACTGCTCTCTCTCTCTCTCTCTCTCTCTCTCTCTCTCTCTCTCTCTCTCTGCAAAGTAGCAAAGTCTCTTATAGCTATCATAGGTAATTGGGTAGTCAAAATGTTGCAAGTAAGTAAAATGGGTAGGTAAAACAGTAAGTCTTGCCTGACTTCTAGGGAAATGACAGCTCTTGATGATGGTAAAGTGTAAGTTTAATAAGACTCTATACCTTGTCTTTTCAGTTCTCTTAAGGCCTATGATGCCAAATATGGGTGTCTTTTCTACAGCAAAGATTTGTTGAAGCTAGTTGCCTATGGGATGACAAAGAAAATCTTAATTGTCCAATATTCTGTAATGTTATCTATTCACCTGTTGAATCTTTTTCCTCTCACCCTCAAAACAAACACTCCAAGGCTGAATCTGAACAGGCTCCGCCCACAGAGCCGAAAGCAGAGGAGCCCCTGGCCGCTGTCACACCCGCTGTTGGGCTGGACCTTGGAATGGACACTCGGGCTGAGGAGCCAGTAGAGGAGGCAGTGGTGAGCGCCACCTCCCTCCCACCCTCCATCTGCCTCGCTTCCATGGCCATGCTTATCTCATGATCACATGCATTGCTTTCATCTTTCCTCACTTGGAGGAAAGATGGGTAGATATGCTCCATATCTGTCATAACTCCCGGGTTCAATTAGCCTTCATTCATATTTGCTTTCTTTTTTTAAATAAGGAAAATATCCAGATAACTACTCGTATGATCTAAAGAAAACTGTCACATAGCCACAGGTATAGCACAGTAGATGGGTTGTAGAACTGGTGAGTAATCAGATCTGTTAATGCTTTGTTCTACCTGTGACAACTGGACATGTGCCTTAATTAGGGAACTTGCATGTGATAAACAGAATAATTACCTTGTTAGTTGTGTGTACATATTGATTACTTACAATAGTAGTTTTTTAGGTTGGTTAAGGTCTAGTGAGGTGTTGAAATCCCATATCACAACTCTGTGAATCTATAAGGATTCTTATGTGCACCACCATTTGCTCACAATTAAGTTTGCTGATAGCTCTTATAGTAATATGGACATTGAGGATGTTTTTGTACTGGGATAGAGATCCATTTTTCTGCCTGGAAACCTGCTCTTACCTTGATATATGCAGTCATGAAGAACACCACATCGCAAACTGGGATGAGCTTTGATATGTGCCAAGTAGAATTGGACATTGTAATACCTATGAAAGTGTAGAGTTCAAAATACCCATGGTGAGTGAAAAGTCATTTATTTATGAAATGCAGAAAAATATCTTCCAACAATTTTAATCAGAGTACCATTTCCAGCCTTCATAGACCGTACAAATAGGAAAACCAATTTCTCTGTTACCAAAAATAACATTCCCTAGATTAGATACCTAGAGAAATGAGTCTACTTCAATTGAGTCAACTTCATGTTGTTGGTGCCTTAAGTCATTTTACAGGGAAAATGGTTGGTCATCTGTGACGTCAACAGTTTATTAATCAAGTAGAAAAATAATAGTGTAAGATAGTAATGGAAGACAAAGCTGGACTGAATCTCTCCCAGGGGCATTGCTTGCAGGGACTTTAGACCACGGAGTACTGTGTCCATGGTTGCTCCCAGGTTCACTGGAGATTTCAGCAAGTCTGTGTAGATAGTGCTTTTTCATTTCGTGTCTGATGGTGACCTGTCTACTCACCTTGCTTTAAGATTATTTAAATAACAAAGGAAGGGAAAAAATAGAGTTTATTTTTTGACTACTGTTGTAATTAAGAAGATAATTGATTTTTAAAGGAATATGGATGATGCCAGGGAGTTAAAAAAAATATCAATTTAGGTGTTGAGGGAAATTGTTTCAATTCTGAAAAGCTCTCATCAAATCCCTATTTTGAACAGCAGCACAGACTTCATCTTCACCAGTGTTTTAAAACTAGCCCATTGATTTTATGCCCAAGACTATTCAGTATAAGGCTTAATACTGTCATGCCCATGTATGTGAGCAGGGGCAGCATTTGCTGTTGTGCAATAGATTGGAGATGTGGAATAGGCAAGCTAAGGTCTTCAATACAGGCTGAATGTTGTTGATTCTCCATGATCCCCTCTAAGAGTGCCATGTTTATATACTTCTCACACCCATCCTCACTGCAACAAACTGATCTAAGTAGGCTTTTGGTTTTTTTCAGAATCCAGATTTATGCTTTTCCAGTGGACAATATCAGTAGTCACCAATTATTTAAGAACCTACTATGTAATAGCTAATATATATATGCATATATTTGATGATCATTTTAACTAAGGGTAATATGAAAAATATTGAACACCCTGTGGCATAGGCACCGACCATCATTCAAACCAGCTTCCTTCATATTGGGTAAGCAGCTATTTGGAAGAATGCTTCATTCTGAAAACATCTTTTCTCCTAAAGCTTATTGGTGAACTGTAAAGAATCAAAAATTTTGATTCCCTGTAAAATATAAGACAATTTACAGTCTTATGAAGGATTCAGGCACCTCCTGAGACCCACAGGCGATGCAAGGATAATAGGTACAGAGCTCACAGTGTGATCCACATTTTCCACAGAGAAAATAATTCAAGCTCATTTCTCCATATGGACTGAAAAATAATGGTAACACTGTTAACTAAAAGGAGACAGTTTACGGCAGTTCAGTTTGCCTTTATTCATCCATAGTGGCTGCCTTCCATGTTTTTAACATGGACATACTTGGATGAAATCGATACTTCCCCTCATTTTCCTTTCTCCTTAGGAGAATAGAGTCAGATAAAATGTATTTTTGTTTCCAAAAGTAGATTTATAGCTTCTTACCTCTGGTCATAATAATCTAATATAATATTAGGGTTATATTTCTCTGAAGAAAGGTCTATTAGGTTTTTAGATGTGTAATATTAAATTGTAAAAACAAAAATCCACATTGAGTCCCTAGCATTAATTAATCAGCTGACTGTGGTTGTCATCAGTCAGGATTGAGTTGATATGACCTTTTGAGGTAATCCTTTTCACCGCTGAAATGTCACCATATATTAGTTCAGGTTTTGACAGAATGCATTTCATCTGAGATGATGTTTGTGATTGTTCTTTTTTATTTTTTAAGAGGCAAATATAAATTCAAACATGGGAAATTTTAATAGTGTTTCCCAAAGAAACCTGGGGCTTTTAAGAAAAGTTTAATTATTAAATTTTTGTTTGTTGTTTTATTTCTTGTATAGTTAGTATTGTCTTCAGTTTTTCACAACATCAAATGTTACTAGTATGTCTGCAGGATTCATTTTAAAAATCAACACTCTTATTTTTCCTTTTCCAGATGTTTCTATGTATGTAAGTAATGAAAATATTTGTTAGAAAAAAATGATTTTGAGCCAGGTTCTGTGGCTCATGCCTGTAATCCCAGTACTTTGGGAGGCTGACGCAGGTGGATCACCTGAGGACAGGAGTTTAAGACCAACCTGGCCAACATGGTGAAATCCCATCTCAATAAAAATACAAAAATTAGCCAAGTATGATGGTGGGTGCCTGTGATCCCAGCTACTTGGGAGGCTGAGGCAGGAGAAGTGCATGAACCCGGGAGGTGGGTTGCAGTGAGCTGAGGTCGTGCCATTGCGCTCTTGCTAGGGCAACAGGGCGAGACTCTGTCTCAAAAAAAAAAAAAAAAAAGATTTCAATATTTATTTCAATATATGTCAGAGAATTAGGCTGAAAAGCAGGTAAAGATGAGCACAGAGCCAATTCATAATGCATTCTTTGGTTACAGTTAATTGTGTTTAGATTTTTTTTTTTTCCAGAAAATAAAATTTTACTCACATTTATTCCATTTTCTTCTAGAGAGGTCCCTTCTAATTTTCTCTACATTTCGGTCAGTACCTGTATTTTGCTTAAATGATGCGAATTACATCAGTGTTCTTTTTTGCCTATTTTTTTTTCAAAATAATGCCATGTAATTAAATTTAGAGCTAGCATAGCTTATAAAACATATACATGTAAGGAAGACTCTGGTAAAGACGTTTTCAGAATTGTTGGGGAATCCTGGAATATGAAACATTATTGACCCATTATTTGGGGGACTACTTTGTTTTTTGCTATGTGTTGATTTTTAAAAATTTTACTACTAAATTGTCGAGAGCAATTTAAACCACCAGATATATACGTATCAGAATTGCCAGACTATAGTTTATCAACTTCATCTTGCTAGGAATATTTCTGCCTGCTGGAACAGAATACATGTGCTCACTTCCTTTTTCACTCAGTTGACAGATACATTTGAGTCTTCTGTAGATGTCAGGCTCAGTTCTGGATCTGGAGAATACGGGAATGTGGTAAATCGATAGGACTCCTGCCTCCTAGTTTCCACAGATTGGTGGTTAGATGCTTGTTACACAGAGGTTGAGGTGTGAGGTGTCCTTCTGGGAAACAGCATTTGGGTTTTCTCCTTTTGCAGAGTAAACATGAGAGTTAGCGTTTTGCCTGTGCCTCTAGATGTGATCTCCCACTATGTCAGAGGAAGACACTGAAGACCAGAGGAAGCCAGGAAGCTTGAATTATTGACTGGCCTTGTTTACGTAGAATGATCTTCCAACTCCAAGTGCTCACACAGAAGTGTGCTTTAAGATGTCAAGAAACGTACAAATGTATATGTTTTTCTGTTTTTTAATGAGAATCTTGGAGATGGATGTTTCTATTTACCTTTCTTAGAAAAAAAATCATAGAATTGGTTGTTTTCTGAGTTTGACTGTATTCCCATTAGCAAATAGTTACATTTTCAATGCCTCTAAAGCTAAACAAGTTTCTCTGTTTCTCTCTTGTTCATGATACCAAGTACACAGCTGAGTGTATAATATATGACCATTAAATTCTGGGTCATTTATTTGTTAATTGACGCTATAGTTTTGTGGTCCCTAAAGGGTCTACAGTTTGATTTCTTGAAGTATAGATATTTATGTGGTTATTTTTGTCTTTTTTTTAATTCAGATACTTTGGCTTTTTTATATTTAGGAAAAACAAGCCAGTTATTATGATCAAAAGCAATGTCAGTTTTTTCATCTGTTCCACAGTAGCTCTGTGACAGCTAAGCCCCACTTGCCTCTAATATAAAATGGAGTTAATAATAATCACCTTAAAAGTTTCCTGTAAGGGCTTAGAAATAATACATGTCATATCAGTTTCAGCATCTGTCATGCAGAGGTTATTAGTCAATGACAATTTGGTGATATCATTATTGCCGTCGTTATCACGAAAAGTTGGTGAGGAGCAAATAAGCAGAAGCAGGTGAAATATGTACTCTGGGGAGGAGAAGGCAGCAGAAGCAAAGGATAACAGGCCCCTCTTCCTGCGTTGCCTCAATCAGAAACGGCAAGGGACCCAGGCCCTGTTAGGTCTCCAGCAACACAAATTTCCTGTGATTCCTGAATAAGCTGTGTCCCATCAAAATTCTTTGTCCTTTCTAAGAAGACTTTCCCTTTTCTAGGCACCTTTACACGCAGTGAATGAATAGGGAATGTTTCTGTCTTCATTGCCCAGGG